TGCAGGAGAGGTTCTAGCAATGACCACAGTTTTCTGTGAGCGAGGCAAAACAAATCCCCCCGGCCTTCTAGGGTGCAGGGAAGGAAGATTTGGATCCTTTCCTGAAACGTTTCATTTAGGTAAGTGCTTGAAAATGCTGGTCTCCAGAATATCTGTATAACACCTAATCTCGAGTCAACATGGTTTGGCCTTAGACTCCATTGAGAAATTGAGTAAGGCACACATTTGGGACTCAATAAAAGTTGTTGCCAAGTTGTGCCAAAGGTTTGATCTGTTAGATAATTGAGTATTTCATTGGTCCAAGTTCAAGGCTCAAATAAAGGGGTACCATGGAAAGCTTGGTCATCTATACAGTTGATCTTAGGCATTTGCTCATTAAAGCTTTCCACGCAATGGCTTGGGCAAATCGTAAGGATAAGTTTGTGGAAGAGTCACCCAATGAAACGATGAGGCACCACCTGGGTGTAAAAGATCTCTTTTTTTCCTTACTGAGGAAGTTTCTGTGGTAATGTGGTATGATGTGTTAACTTTGAATTAGAAACAAGAGAGGAAGAATCCTACACTGGTAGCTACATTGGCTATAAGTCAAACCAATAATCCTACCTAGGTAATCATGTCACGTCAACCTTGAGCCCATTTGAAGGTTAACCAACCATACATCCTGGTGCTGGAATGCAACTACAATGCTACCCAGTAAGTAGATAGGACTATCCTGGTCATGTCATTGTTTACATAAGATAGCCCAGTCTTCCAATAGGAGAGGAGCAAAGCATTTGCTTTTCCTCTGGAGCATTGAGTCATTTTCAAGTGAACTGTCTATATTAGCCGAGCAACAAGGTATGCAAGGCTATTGGCTTTTGTTGATGGCTCAGCAGGTGCAAGAGAGCTAATAGCAGGGGTGAGCAATACTGCTATAGCTCTGGGAAATTAATGCAGCCCTAGTCAGACCTGGCCACCCACTTGAAGGAGTGCAATGGACAGGTTGCACCAAAATATTTGGTGGTCAGCCCATCTCTCCCAGGGCTAAGCGGATATTGGTATATGCTTGTCAGAGTATGATGGCAAGAGATAGAGCTCCTGGTTGATACAAGAGCAGTCAGAACACTGATGGATCTCACAGTATATCAAATGATTTGAGAGAAACCACCACTAAGGCCAGTCAACACAAAATTTTAATGATAAATGGACATATACTAGATGTGAATAGAAAGGAAACTCTAGTTATATCTCGGAGGCATCATTCACAGAATGAAGGTAGTAGTCGCCAACCTTGAATCTGTCATCAACATCTTTGGGGTGAACAAACTGCAGAGCTTATCAGCCAGTTCTACCTGTGCAACAGGTGAACTGATTTTCTATGGGAGAGTTATCTAATGCTAGCCAAAACAAATCTAGGAACAGTGAACTGCACGAGTATATATGGGAGAGGAAGTCATATTACACCAATGTTTACAAGTAATATTCTGTAGTTTACTATGGACAAAGTCTATTCTGTTTGTGCTATGTAATGCAGTTTTTAGCCCATGCATGAAATAAATTGTTTCTTGTCCAGAAAGTAAGAAGCATTAGACTGGGCAGTTATTTGTCCAAGAAGAGATGAAATCCCATTGTAGATCTGGAATTATGGATGATTAGGCGAAATTAAAGTAACTGGGGTAGCAGTACCATTTTGGTTGCATCTGTTTCACTGTGTTCAAAAGCAAGCACCTGGTTACCAACAAATCTGAGATCGCTAGTTGATAATTTTGCAGACAATATAGACGAGAGTAGACCTAAGACTGCTTTCAGCAAGATAAATATTTTATGTGGAATTTGCATCATTTTATTCAGTTTGTGTAACACACCTGCCACTTTCAAAGGGCTGCAATGGAAGAAGTGCCTAATTCATGATAATGATGTATTAGTGTTTGAATGCAAATTTGAGTCTGCAATTGAGAACCTGAAAATGATATTCTAGTGGACTAAAAAGGCAGGCTTAGAACTGAAACCAGGAAAATATATATGGAAGTGGAATTTTGTAGCCATGTGATGGGTAGAGATGGAATATCCACAGATTCTTCAAAAATTGCAGCAATGTAAGACTGGCCTCAACCTAGGACGAAGTGAGAAGTCCACATTTTCCTAGATTTTGACTCTATAAAATTGAGATGAACATAGAATGAGGAATGTGAGTAAGTACTGCAGTTCCTGAAGTATGCTTGAGTAGAAGCCTTAGTGTTGATATATCCACGACAGAACTATGAGTTTTTGTTGGACAGAACACCAGTGATAGTGAAGATGTAGCAGTGTTATCACAGTTTCAGGATAAAGTAAAATGTTTGATCATGTATGCTAGTTGCATGCTTAAAGCAGATAATGTATGACTAAGAAATAATTGCTCATAATTGTGGTCTTCATGAAAAATTAATGCTGTTGCGTCAGCGAGGTCACGTGACTAGTGTCACGCCACGTTTTCTAGA